CCGAGAGGCTGGTTCGGAAAGCAACTGAGGAAGCGCGACAATGGATATGGTGCGTCTTTGTATTTCTCTTTTGCGTTGGCATATGGCATTGAAAGCTTGGTGGACCGACTAAATTATCTCGTTAGGTCGTAGGTGTTTTGCGTCAGTTAAGATGCATGAAGGTTGACTGGGCTAATGCAAGGATTGTTTGCCGTGTTTAATATTCATATGTGCCTTCGATTTTTTCGGCGAAAACATTCTGTCCTGGTTTTAAAGCGGAATTTAACGTTACCTCACGCACACCAGTTGTTGTTATGTTGGTTGGTCCTGTTGTACCACTTAGACATAATGCTTAACTTTGTTTATGCGTAGTATCCCTGCTAGCACTGTACTGGTATTTTGCTAGCTCCTGTCGACGCAGTTTATGGTGTATAACTATTCATTTAATCGACGGATCGTTGTCGGTGCCTGTTACAGACGATGTATTCATCAGTCTATATCACAATTGACATCAAAGGCCTTAAAGGCGCGCTCCACATCGATTTTACGCTGGGTGCCATGCGAGATCAAGTGTATTGGCAGGCTCAAGAGGCGCTTCACGGTCCGATAATACCCCTTCCAAATAGGATAACCTAAGGAATGCGTGGTACCATAGTATTTATTGGATATGTTGAATGCTTCTGGAAAATGATGGTTGCATACAGTTTTGGGTGTCATGCGTGCGGGTTTCTGAGTGTCGCAGCCAGACGGGACCGTAGATGGCTATGAGACTCAGTTACCCGCGCAGATAGTGCCTCGCCATTCAGCCGAATACCTGGAAGCAGACAGCACGAATCGGGACTGCCCGATTGTCGTAATCAATCGGCCACTAACACGCGAGTGAGGAAGTATAAAAAGTTGGGATAAGAGAATCATAAAAAGGAGTACAGTGTATTATGGCCTTATTTCTCCTAAAATTGGCGTACGGGAACTAAGACGCAAAATAAAAGGGCGGTGCACGACATGGAAGTGGTCAGCACAACCAGTTAGCGCGACGTCCTTCCCGGCCAACAAAAGGAGTGACCAAAATGTCGACATACCTATTGTGTGGACTTGTAGGTAAAAAATTGTATGCTTATTACGAAGGCGATTTGGATGGACGTGTTATTAATACTTTGCAATGTCTAAGTTTCGCATAAAGACATGTCGTCGCCTACGGGTACTGATGGTTGTCCCAGCATCCTGTTTGTCAGCCGAATTGGTGTCGTTTTCCTGCTCAAGGTTGGTGGGCTTTGAAGGGAAAATGGGACGGGATCTTGAAGCAAAGGTGTGGGCGTCTCCTGATGGCAACTGTCGATATCCTTCCCTTCTCTGGAGCCAAGTAGTCGAATGGATACGATTTGTTTTTTTTGCCGTTAGTGTGTGGTGTGTGAGCGTATTGGGGTTGCACTGGAGTAGACCAGTCTCATCCGGCGGATCATGTTTAAACTGTCGGATGTTTTTCGGCAGAGTCCGACCAGGAGACGCAAGTCACAGGGAGAATGGTTCTAGTTATCGGCCATCCATTGCAGACAAGCCTCCTTTACTAGTGTAACATTAGTGGCAGTACGCCAAGGTGATCTGATTGAGTGCAACGCGTCGAACAAACTGAAATTTTAGGGCGGGTAGAATAGTCTTCTAAAAATTTGGGTTCAAACGCCTGACCTGCCCGTTTTCTTGGGGATTGTATGGAGTTGTCTTACTAGTCGAGCTGCTAAACGTCGGTGGACATAAATGATGGTCACCGACCGGTGGAGGTGTACGAGGGGGTACCGAGTGTAGAGACTAGCTAACAGAAACATTTGATGACAGGCTTGTCAGTCTGGTCAGAACAGGCAAACACAAGTGGAAAACGGAAAGATTCGCCAATAATCGCGAGCAACTGACTACCCTGTGTCACTGACGGAAGTAGACCTTTGAAGTCAATTGACAGCCGTCTGAATGGCTACGTAGCGTTGTTGAGTTGACCTTGTGCCTGAGGGGAAAAGCGGGGTTAGATTTCACAGCAGGTTTGACATATAGCGACAGCATTACGAACCCATTCAATTGAAAAAAGAAAATTCAGGACTTGAACAAATTGTGATAGCTGGGAGGCACCAGGATGGCAGAGTTATCCATGCAGTCCTTTCAGATTGTTACTTATCGACAAACTCCGCAGCATCTACGAGGAAGTGTATCTGCCGCTCGGTTTTCATTTTCAGGTCAATAAACGCTATCAAAGTCGAATGGCGGCAGCTCCAACCTCCAACGTCCTGTCTTGTCATTACTTTTCCATTTTGTCGACAAAACGCTGATCTATAGTGGATTTGAAATGATTACCGGAGAAAAAATATACCCACTTGCGTATAGGTTTCATTACGGCGTACGCTCCTCTTTTGACAATAGTAATGTCGCTCACTCAGTGATACTGTGCACGAAGAACGCTACCGGCAGCCCATTATGGTTGTGTGGCACCAGTCACGACGTCTGAGAAATTAATTTCGACAGTCAATAGGGCATCATGTGGGACGGTAGCGTCTATGATTTTCGAAAGTTCATACTTAAGAGTCTTAAGTGTTTCCATTATTTTCGATGATAGAGGACGTATTAGTGTGAATCTGCTTGTTGATCGATTGACTGTTGAAGGATCCGGCCTCTCACACAGTTGAAAATTGTCTTTGAATAGACACACCGTCGACAGACACGGTTTCATTAAAGAAATCAGCCTCCTCACTATTCGCTTGTGCTCGGGTTTTTGTTCTGTGGTAGCATACTGAAATCGGCAATAGAAGGCTCAATAACATGTCATAATCCACCCTGTCAAACTACAGATCGAGCAAACTTTTGCGACAGAATCCACGAAACGGACCAAATGGACTGCTGACGGTAGTTGGCGTACTCAAAGGTTTGCTGGACTGAAAAGTGCTGGTGCATGCACCCCCACTCCAGCTGAAAGCCATGATAGTCCTTTCTTTTCCGCGCACCGCGGTAGCAGTGGGAGTGGATGAAGTAGATAAGTTTGGAAGTTTTTTTTACGTCGACTTTAAGGAGTTAGATGCTAGTGTCTTTTTTGCTCTGGTCTGTTGCCTTCCTTGAAAATCAGCCCAACGACAGCTTCACTATGATTGCAGTCCTCTTCCCGTGGCCATGTATTCGAGCAGCAATCGATTGTTTCCGCTAAGGAACAGTCATCATCATATATTTTTTTCAGTTTGACTGCTGCCCCAAATATCTCCACAGTAGGCAGTGGACCATAATCACAGTTGTATTCTAGTGCCAGGGCGTTTTAAAATTAGATGACATCCGAGGGGCCGAACCTGCAGGACTCAGAAGGTTGGCCATCAGTTCCTTCCATCAGCGAGTCGTATCTGACAGGGACCTTGTTACTGTACCTTGTCTAGCTTTGGTCGCTGAGGCAGGTGAATTGTTGCACTAATTCATTTTCAAGATTCTACTCGACTTCTCAGTATGACTGTTAGCTCGAACGCGTTTAAGGTACCTCAGAGTTTTACTCCAGAAATCGTCTTGTCCGGGCCGTACAAAGTGCATAGTCTCATGAGAAAATCAGCTGAAATTTCGGTCGCCTCGAATTTGAATTGTTCTTGCACTACTAACTAGTCGGATCGCTGCACCAGGGATATAGTTTTTGTGGTCGCTTCTTTCGTGATCTAACAGCCCCGATGAGGTACTTTCCTGAGTATGCCTCAATTCCGGCCATATGTTTTCTGTTGAAGACGCCTTCAAGGCGGTTGCCTTTTGTCAGGGCTGCAGAGCGGTTTGGAGTGCCTAGACTAAAGCTGATGGCAGTGCCATAACCCTGCCACTGTCATCTAAGTACAGTCTGGATCAAAACAGAGCCACCACAAAGACATGCCCAGAGCCGTTCTCGCCGCTGGCGTCGACACCATAAATCGTGCGGGAGTCTACTATGCGTTCTTGAAAAGGTATGTAGTGGACTCCAGTTGAAGCATGACATTTCTTGGGACACGCCTTGGCTTTAAATTCTGATTGAGGGCCTCCCCAGCACGCCATCAACGCCTGGTATGGAGACGTGCATTGCGGCAACTGTAACGGTGGTAACTGCACCTCAATAACATCGCTTTACAGAGCATAAGTGAAACTTTAGCCCGGGGATTCAGAGGAATTGCAACACAACGAATTTTCAAAAAAAATCGAGATGGACTTATCTGACATGGTCTGGAAGGACGCCTTTGAGAGGCGGGCAACGTTCGCGTTGCACTGTACTAGTACTCTCATGTTTGTGTGTTTCCTGTGCAAGAGAAGCCCCTACAGTTCATGTCGCTCTTTCTGGCAAGCATGCCAACCTGCGTATTTACCATTTAAATTGCTGATGGAGGTCTGGCCGTGTCAGCCCTCATGGACGCCGTGGTATAAGTCAAGTCTGGAGTGGATTATAGGTTTACAGCCCACAAAATAACGATAACAAGCAGTTCTTACACGGGGATACTTCCTCATTTGAATTTGCGCTGGCGATCCGTCCCTACTCATTCCGTCTGACCTAGGGGCCTTATTATTTCTTAGCTGGTCTTCAATGAAGACCGCTCCACTACATCACCTTGGATCACACTGGATAGCCAGTAGCTCGGCAAACGACCAAACCGCGTCTTCATAGGGCTCGTATCGTCTTTTTGACTAAATAGAGAAGACACTATAAAATGTCAGCCTTTCTGGAAAGTGAATGCGTAAGGGAGTTGATAAAACCGCTGATTCACGGGATGAAAACGGCCATCTTCCGTAGTCTGAAGTCCGTTTGAGGTAACAGCGGAAGGCTGGGTTTCATACGGCATTCCGCGCCTACCATTCCTCCTTTTAGGATGAAATATGAGTGTCCTGTTTTCTCACGAATTTACCGTCCAGAACACACGCAAACGGTCGTATAGGGAGGAGAAGCCTATAATCTAGAAGTATTGTCGACAAAGACGACGGAGGCTGGAGTGAACTTCTTCGGCTTATTTCTCATTGTCATCTGGCCTTACCCTATCTTCAAGTTGGGAAGATCCGTTTATCGAACCAGTTCTTCGAAAATGGATGCATCTAGTCCGTCCATATCCGCACCACCGACATTTGAGTCAGATGCACGAAGTTGATCCTTTTGCTCTGCTACCACGTGTAGGTGACATCATTGATCTAACCATTTTCTCTGCCAAATCTACAAGTGCAAATTGAACGTCATCACATCCACGCAAAGCTCTTTCGAGCCTCAGGCCAGTAATATTAAAGGATTGGCGTTGTGAATTCATTGCGCCCAATAAAACGGATACAGATCGCATGATAGTGGGCTCTGATAATAATAACACTATTCGGATAAACTGTCTGTTTCCATTGTCTTCCGCCGACACGAGCAAAACATATCAGTCGGTTGCTGGTGGTTGTAACGAACTTTATGCATGTACGACTGTGAATGTTCGGTGATTACATGAAAATCCACTTCGATGCACTGCCTGCCACAGTTTTCTCACCACGCTTATTCTTGAGTAACCTAAGCATCGTGGTTGAAAGACCTTTGCAGCAGTCTAGATGGGGCCTATGCTGCCATACTTCTCGCTGTCTGGATTACCTCTTATTGAGGACAGGCATAAGGATGACCGCGACCCAGTTATTGAGAGAAACCTCATCCCTCAAGACATGCTTAATCGCCCCACAGGGCTAGGTGTCAACGTCAGAAGGGCTTGTGGACCTAGACAGAAATGCCATCTGGTGCCAACCTTTTTTTGCACAACCTCAGAATGGCACTGGTGGTTTATTTCTGCGAAGGAGAGTCACCCGACAACTGGGCTTCTGAGAGCAGGCAGGTAGTGACCATTTGCTTATCACAGTTGGATGGGCGTACTAACTGTTAATGCCAGCTCTCTATCCTGACCAAGTCTTCAGCTGCCGTGAGCATTAAGTCAATGCAAGGAATTTACCGCTGACTTTTCAGATGAGTTGTTGGAGTTTCCCTTTGTCATGGACGCTCATGTATACTCACTAACGGTGATCATTTCGGCCCCATAGTTTCCGCTAAATTCTCTATCTCGTGTTTCAGCATTTTATGGAGTGGATCCGAGTAGACAGAATTATGGGGTATAAATTGAGCTCTCTGATTAGACAGTTCATTCACATTCACTCAAATTTACCAGACTTTTTGGTGCAATTTAGCAAGGCATTACTCGTCTCTCTTCCTGGCTGGATTTTCGCTCGAGAGAATAAGATTCTTCTTTCGCAGCTAAGTATCGCCTGGTTCATAATCATTACGTTCCAAAAAAATTTTTCATATGTTCAAAGCATGGTCTTTTATATGCCCTTATGCCAAAGGAAGCCTAGTTCATTGCTTAGCGGCTAGTTCTGGGTGGATATGCTCTCCCGATATATCGAAGTCAGAACTTAAGCAAATGAAGGACCTGCCTCACGGAAACAGATATTCTGACTTATCCATCTCCAGTGTTATTGGAAAACTTCGACCCATTCCACCTATATTCCGATAGAAAACAAGTACCAGCAATACACAGGAATAGGAACCCCCCATTCCAGGAGCCCTGCGCCAATTTCCAGGGGAACTAAGGTTATTGTTTGGATTCAGGTTAGAACATAGGAAGGTGTACCTTTGCATTTCTCACAACCATCTGTATTACTAGGAGGGCGTCCTATTCCCGTCTTACCAGAATACCGGTTAGGACTGTCGGTTTCTCACTTGCAAATACCTCCTAATGTCAGAGACTGTGTTGGCGCGCCTGATAACCTTGAATGCTAACAAAAGATGTGTCACTCACGTGTTTTGGTGATCTTCTGTTTGAGGGTTAGAGAAAGACCTTTCATCAAGCATAATGGCATCTGTTGACCTTTTTGCACCAGGAGACCGCACGAATGGCGATTGTGAGGGGTTTGAAGTCCCATGTATACTTACTGCAGGTGGTCATGCTGACCATTGTGTGTTTGATCAAATCACTCCACGCTTGGCCAGTTTTCATCTCTTCCAACCTTTTAGTGGAATTAGATTTACGAGAACTTTGAAAAATAGGGCCTTATCTCTGCCAACGCCCCGGTTGAACTAGAGGTTGCAGCGAAGTTACGCAATGAAGGTTATGGGCGTACGACTTTTGCATCGGTAGCTGAAACGGCCTAAGCTACGCAGCTGAGCTTGTCCGCTAACTGGGCACCCACCGCCAGTTGAATCGAAATGCATACTAGAAGATACCTAGCCTCCTTGTCTGCTTAATTCTTGCAGTTCTCAGCGTCCAACTGAGTAAGAGGGCCATAAGGGCCACATTAAGAAGGGGCTATTGTAGTTCGACCCTCAATCCACCAGTCGGCTACACAACGCAAAAACGCACAGTGGACTGACTGGGAGGCCCCGGTTGGACTGTCGGTTAGCAGTTTTCCAAGCCACAGCTTTTCGTGCATAGTAATAATCTCGGGCTTGTTCGGTTATTAATGTGAGGAATATGCGCTGGGAGTAGACATCAATATCTCCCTTCCCTTTCCGTTCACCATTCTATTATCCGAGCCTGCCAACTAACTGATGTTGAGATTGGAACAGGCGGCTGACAGAGCTAAGAACAGCACGTCTGCGCGTACCGTACGCACGGCCTGACCTCCACGCGTACACAATAGAAAGTCACACGGAAGGGCCGACTGCTCGACAGGGGAACTACCTGGAGAAGACGCCGAAAAACCCATTTCTCACTTACGTGAGAGGTGCCTAGTTTGTGCCTGTTGTGTGTTCTGTTGGACGTGTTCATGTGTGGCGCATGTGTTGGTGGAGATGTGTGGTGATGTGGTGTGGTCTGCGGCGACTGACTACAGGTTTTCGTGGAGACGCGTGTGGCGGAGTAAGCTTATTCGATGGCTGAATGTGTGAGGGCAATTTAGGCGATGACGGCGCGTGTATGTTAGTGCTCCAGGCACTGGTTCGCCAGCGCCTGTGCGATGGATTTCCAAGTGACCGGTCGGGCCGATGCGTGATGTGCACGTTTAATGGAAATTTGGACAGGATAGGTTGAGATATGTGGCCCGTTTAACGGTACTCTCACGGATCAGCAAGTATGCCATCGCTAGAATCTTCAAGATCCTGAACATCTGTCACCCTCCGGTCTTCCTGAGCCGCATTCGAGTCACTAGAAGGCTCCCTTACCAGTTTTATTATTTAACTGAGATTCTGTTGGAGGAAATACTGGAATTAGAACGGTCTCCGTTTAAGTTGTGGTGACAGTGCTCTGAGGTCTTTTGTGATGCCTGCATTTGCCACCCGCCGGTCTGCATTATTTTCACCAGTCGATCTTTGGGGCTGCCCTTATACGCGACTCTACGCCTTTTTTTATATCAGCGCTGAAGTCATTTTTTGTGATTTACCGTCACTTCGTCGCCCCAGTAAAGGTCAGGTTAGGAATTTCGTTTTATAAGCGGTAATTTCTTTTGCAAGAATGCCTGAAGTGCACTTTATTACACACCCAGTGTCGTCATCAACCAGTCGTACTCCAACTCGAAGCCTGAAAGACCGGAAGTTGGAACCAGAGTCCGTAACTCAAGTGCTGTTTGGCAGGTTTTTACTCTGAAGTTAAGTTAGAGTGATTTTTAGTATACTGGATCCCCAAAAAGTTAATACCAACAAGCCATCATCTTGGCCTCTTTGCCTTTATAAGATCACCTGAAGTCCACAATATCTTTATTTTTACATTCGGTTATTCTGCTTTTTGCAAGCATATTTCCTCATAAAACATCTTTCCACCCTGTCTCAGAATTTCTTGGAAATGCATTTCAGACCAAATGCCTCCTGTTCATCCCACTGGCCGGAGTTGAGCATTTAAGTATCATGAAGAACCTGTTTAGAAGAAAATGTTTTTGATCGCTTTTCCAACCATAGTCTCTTTATCGATCTAAGTTTGTGCCACCTTTAGTAGGCCTTCTGGAACCCCTAACGACCCAGCTTGGGAATCAGTTGTTAGTACTTTTTTTACCAGATGCTCATATCTGTTTTACTTGATCTGTAACCCAGGAGTGCGCGTTGTGTTCGTGACCTCCTTAGTTTTCATCAACAACAGCTTCAGCGTCACGACACATGTCATTATTTCGAACTGTGCGTTGCGCAGAACGCGATCGCTCGATAAGCTCTAGAGCCTTATTTTAAAACGAGAGAGCACCAACTGCAGTGTAGATTCAACGATTTGCGAGCAATTTCCAGCCGCGGTATGAATAAACCTCACTTGACCCTGTTTGCCAGTGAACTTTCATGCGGTTCTACTTTTCCAGAACTTTGTTATCGAAGTGGTTTAGTATAGTGGCTTAGACTGTTTTGAATCTATTATTTATGGAGTGCACCGCAGAAGTATCTATTAACTGACAGCTAAGAGCTTCTGTGCTTGAAGACTGACTCCAAACACTACACCCTCCCCCCATACAGACAGATGCACAAGTTTCAAACGCGGTGGATCTGCTGCGGCGAATGCCACCGCAAAAGTTTGAACACGTCCTCCAGAGTGTCATCGACATCGCCCCGCACATTACGGAGGCCCTCCTCGCCTTGGTTGACGTACCCATGAAAATCAAACGCGATGCGAAGGCTGGTCGCGACTACCTCTTATCTGAATTCAATCGTGACAACGACTCCTATCGGTCGCCGTGGACAAATACCTACGATCCCCCATGTGAGGATGCTGTATATCCATCCGATCGGCTGCGGTTGATCGAAATTGATGCCAACAATGCCTTTGACCAGTACAGGGAGATGTACGTACCTTGGAACTCTTCCTAATGCTCTAAATTCCATTCTTCCTT